AAAGAAAGAAAGAAAGAAAGAAAGAAAGAAAGAAAGAAAGAAAGAAAGAAAGAAAGAAAGAAAGAAAGAAAGAAAGAAAGAAAGAAAGAAAGAAAGAAAGAAAAAGAAAATTAAAAAATTAAAATAAAAATCAATCCAACAAACAAGTACTTCTAGATTTCATCACACTCCAGAGGTAGAAAAAATTTCCCAATCATCTAATTCATGATATTTCAGTGCTCAGCAGAGTGCCTAGCACATAGTAGGCACATAATCAAGACTCAATGACCAACTGACAATGCTTCAAAGTGACAACACTCCTAAATCAACTCAACTTCTTTAAAGATTCTCAACTTTCCTCTTGTAGCTGTGCTGTGAAATTTCTGGTGCTGAGTTGCCTGCAAAAATCTTACCAATAACCTGCCCACAAGGAAGCATGCTAAAGACAAGCTCCCAGGGCAAGCAAAAACTGTCAGCTTTTAACCAAAGAGAGAAGCCCATTTCAAGTGTGGTTGTGCACTACTCTGAGCTAGGACAACAATTTATCGAGTATATAAAGCTGCCAGCCAGCACGAAAAAGGTAGAAAGTTTTATTCTGAGAGAATTCATTACCAGAAACTCATCAACCAAAGCTGTGCTTTAACTTGAGTAAAAAGAGTCTACCCTTCATTTTCTTCCTGTCCTACTTTCCAAGCAGACTGAAACGGTCAGACCTCGGGTGATCCGGTGAAGTGGGACAGAAAGGCTGTGGCCTCAACATATCAATATGACAACAGGTAGGATAAACAGTCTCTTCACAGGCATTCTCTGACCAAAAAGTCTATTTCTGTGCCTTAGAAACCAAAAATAGGAGGAAGAGTTAGGAAGAAGCCAGAGGTGCCATGAGATGCCAGTATTAACAGACTGCAGAGGTGCTCCTACAAAACTAAAAGTGAACAGTCCCTCATACTCAATAGCTGAGATATTTATATTAGAATTTTTAAAAAACACAAATTTTAAGTATTTAAAAAAACAGAATAAGGATAGTGTGGCATAATGGGGAAAAAAACAAACACTGATCTTGCAGTCAGAAAGACTAGTTAAGGTCCTAGTTCTTCTACTTACTACCTGTGTGACCTGATCCTTAACAAAATGGAGATAACTCAGGAACTACTTACCTTGGAGGGTTGCTCTTCAAAGATCAAATAAGAGCATATGTAAAGTACCTTGTTAAGTTGTAAAACACTACATAAATATCAGCTGTTAAAAAGTATTTAGCCTGTCTTACATAAGGAACTTTCAAAGTTTAAAAATCCCAACATGAAAGGTTTAACTTAAAAACAGTAATGTTAAAAGCTGACTTTCAGTATTAAATCTGAAACATCCTGTTACAAAAGTCTGAAAGATAAAGTTTATGATTTGGTTCCAATGAAACCAAACATAACTCAAAGGAACTGAAAGGAAAGAAAAGACCATCTCTTAACAGATCATATAATGAACTTACCCTCAACTGATCCAGTTTCTCACGAATTTGAATAAATCCCAAGTGTAATTTGCCCCCGAAGTGATCTGCAAGACGACGATCATTATCATGGAGACCAAGGTACGCAGAACACACCTCACAGACTCGAAGCTTCTGCTGCTGGAAACTGGATGCTGGCATGGAATTTCTATATTCTTCCTAAGATAACAGAAGGGGGAAAAATTGACTCAAGATTTCAAACTTTAAATTTCCATCTCTCCTGCCTTCCACCAACCACTCTCATTCTTTTGAAATTGTACTTTGTCATAGGCTTGTTGACCTCTGGACCCTTGATACTCTTCCTATTGCTATTCTCTGGGCCATCACTCCCATTTTGATCTCACTTGTTTTTCCTCTATCTAGTCTGAAACCTTCCAGCAATTATTTCTATAATGTACTCTCTCTCTTCATTTCACCTTCCACATCTCTAGCTCTATACAAACTGCATTCTGCTAGATGATGCTAGAGATGGCTATGCTGACAGGCTGTTTAATCAAGTCAGGTTGTTTAATCAAGTCAGGTTTTCTAATTTCACCTGGGCCAGCACTTGTTACTGAGAAATCCCTTTAACTTTCTAATTCTCTGGAGTTATGAAGCTGCCCCAAATCTTTCCTATTCTCCATAAGCCAATACTGCCCACTCTTTATCACTCAGATGATGTCTCCCCCGCCCCATTCCAACACAAACTTTTTAAAGACAGAGAACCCAATGCTCAGCTAGTTTCTCATCAACCAAACCTACTAGTTTGACCCTACTAGTCCTTATCTCCTCTGCCTTTTTTTTTTTTAGTGAGGCAATTGGGGTTAAGTGACTTGCCCAGAGTCACACAGCTAGTGATTGATATGTGTCTGAGGCTGGATTTGAACTGAGGTCCTCCCGACTCCAGGGCTGGTGCTCTATCCACTGCACCACCTAGCTGTCCCTCCTCTGGCTTCTCTGAAAGTAGTAAGTAAATCTTGGTAGTTAAGTCAACCAGTCACCCAGATTTCAAATATCAACACTGAGTATTGAGAAGTGAAATCAGAGTGGTAATGGAGATCTTTAAGTATAAAGGAGAAAAATATTATTGAATGAGTGAATATAGGTGGGCCCTGCAGGCACTGAGCTAGCTTCTCTCCTCCTAATGTTACCAAACATTAAGGACAGATCCCTAGATGGGAGCTCTACTGAAATCCATCAGACAATAGGAAGAACACTTTTATATAGCATGTTGTATACTTTACAAAGTATTTTGTAAACAGTGAAGAGGAATGATTTGCCCTGAGCCCAGACTAGGGCAGGGACCTGCTGGTTCCTGACTTTCCTCAGTAGTCAGGTAGAGGTTCTGTTGCTGCAATTTTTCTTACATCCTTCTTTAATTTCCCTCTTTTCTTCTCTTTTCTTTTTTTTCTGGTGAGGCAAATGGGGTTAAGTGACTTGCCCAGGGTCATACAGCGAGTCTGTGTCAAATGTCTGAGGCCAGATTTGAACTCAGGTCCTCCAGATTCCAGGGTTGGAACTCTATCCCCTACAGTAAGGTACTCTATCCACTCTACCACCTCGTTGCTCCTTCCCTCCTTCCTTTAAGGATAATCCTTTCACCTGCAGTCTCTCTGGAACCAGGGCTCTATCAATTATCTCTGTAAACTCTTTCCCTTCTGCCAACAAACATACTCAGTTTAAATCTATATTAAAAACAATCTTTCAAAAAAAAAAAGAAAACCCCAATCTTTCTATTCCCTAAAAATTACTATCACTTTTCTTTCCTTTCATGTTGACAAAATACAAGAGTAGTTTATGCTTACTTCTTATATATCAACTACTCACTCCTTTTATTCCTTGCAATCCAGCTTCTACCAAGACCATACAAGCTTAACACTCAAAGATAATATTCTAATTGCCAAAGGACTTTTCTGTTACCTTCCAGTGTTACCCATACCTTGTTACCAGTAATTTCTTAACTGCCAAATCTGATAGTCTTCCTATCTTACAATGGCTGAAAGTATAGCAACTACTCACAGACTATTAATCAGCAAGGGAACTTCTGACCTGATCTTTCCAACCTAGACAGGCTTGTTCCTCCCTGGGCAACCAACCAGGCCTTCCTATTGTTCTTCATACACAATACTCCATAACCTTTTATCTCTATGCCTTTACAAAGACTGTTCCCTCATGCCTAAAATGCACACACCTCCCCCCCCCAATCTGGCTTCTTAGAATCCCAATTTCCTTCTGTCTGACCTCCTACTAAAGTCTTTCTCAATCCTCTCCAGGTTCCAGAGTCTCCCACAAACAAAAAAAAAAAATTAATTACCCTGTATACATTTTATATACACACATGTTATCTCCCCCCATAGAATGTAAGTCTGTTGACAGCTGGCACTGTTGCATTTTTGCCTTACTCACCAACACCAAGCATAGTACCTGGTATGTAGCAAATACCTCCTAATTCAGGTAACTCTCTCCTCCATCTTTTTTTTGGGGGTGGGGGGGGCTAGGCAATGCGGTTAGGTGACTTGCCTGGGGTCACACAGCCAGTAAGTGTTTATGTGTCTGAGGCCGCATTTGAACTCAGGTCCTCCTGACTCCAGAGCCAGTGCTGTATCCACTGCGACACCTAGTTGCCCCTCTCCTCCAACTTCTGATTCTATTTTTCCCCATGCTTAAATCTACATTTTCCCTAAAGTTTTGTCCTGGGCCCTCTTCTTCTGCATCTCATTCACTGCCAAATCTTAAAATGCCACATTGATTAAGATAGCTTAGAAAAATCTCTCCTTCCAGAGATTTAGTTTCACATTCTCAATTTTCTGTTGCACATCTTCACCCAAATATTTCACCAACATTTCAAAGTCAATATATTCATAACTGAACTCAGTATCTTGTCCCCTAAACTCTTGCTTCAAACTTCTGTTCACTGTACATACCATCACCCTTCCAGTTAACAATGTGCCATGAGTACCAGAATCTACCCCTGCAATTTGTCTCCCCTCCTTTCCCTTTCTGTTCCCACTGCCATGATTCTAGTTGGGTAGTCATTATCTCTTACCTGAATCAAAATCACAGGATCTTTGTGTCAGACTATCACAGAAATCTCTGGTTAGACTCTTCCTACTCCCACTATCTTCCTACTCAGCATACCAATCCAATCAACATACAGAATAATCTTTCTAAAGCAAAGCTCTAGACAAGCTACTCCCAAATGTCATTTCCTTTGCAAAGACTCTTCATGCTCCCAAATGGTTGTGATTGTGATCTCTCCCTTCCCTAAAGGGCTATGACACTTTGTTTTCATATGGTCTAAAGGATTTTTATATACTAGTCTTATCTTCTCTACTACTATCCAAGTTCCTCAGAAACAGAAATATGAAATGACATCTATCTTCATATACCCTCTGATGAATGAATGGTATCTGATTATTCACCAGACTCCTATGTATCCTAAACTGGTCAGCAGAAGTAATGGTACCAAGCCACACTACCTACGTGAGATCAGCAACTTCATTAACAATTGCTTTCCTCCTCAAGTCATTTCTGCCAGAAAAAAAAAAAAAAACAGAACCAAAAACTTCCCAGAAATTCCAGTAGTTGGTTCTCCCAGCATTTGAAAAAGATTAACATGTTTCCTTAAGACACATTAATAATAAAGATGTCTTTTTTCCAAAAACAAAATTACCCTCACCTCACAAAGACTGGAAGCATTTGCTATAGCATGGCATAAAGATACCATTGGTATTTATATAATATATAGAAAGAAAAAGATCTTTGTACCCCTGCAGAATCTAGAGCAAAGTAGGTAATCAGCAAAGATTTGCTAAACTGGACTGCAAGGAGATCAACCGATAATATAAAATTTCCAACTTGCACAATGAAGATACTCAAAGTGGCCAGGAACATGACCAGGATTTTAAGGCCTGGCTCTACCACTTACGGTGTAACCATGGGCAAGTCATATCACCTCTTTGGGTTTCTTTACCATCCATAAGACTAAGGTAGTTAAAATTGACTAAAGCTTTCTGTGAACTTTACTGAATACTATTAAATGAGAAAAAAAACATCTCAAGTTGAGGCACTGTAAAGAGCACTAGATATAAAGATCAAGTTTTCAGTGTCTCAGTTTACTCACCTATAAAATGGGGATAATACTTCCACAACTTTACAGAGTGTGAAGCTCAAACAATATGACAGTAAAGGGTTTCATAAACATAAAATCCTGTATCAACACCAGTTTTAAAAAAAAAACTTTCAAAAAACAAGAGCTTTATACAAGCAAATAACAGAATAAAAAAAGTTGGCATTTCCAACACTGGCCCTGAACATTAAGAGAAATAGTTATAAGCAATTATAGTATAAATAATGTCAAAGAAATAGTGTCATAAAGGATTCCGGATCTCTTGAAACCCAAGTAGTATGCTGAATATGGAAGTCATGTAATTTTATATCACCTTACATTTTAGCATCCAGGAGAACATGTCAGTAACTTCTACAAAAGATAGAATTTAGAAGAGAGAACATCTTCTGGATACTTCCCTTGAAGACAACTAATAATATATACTAACCAAAAAAAGAAATGCATCAGAAATCAAGTTCATATTTGAACACTGTCACCCACCGTTCATTCTAATAAAATATAGCACAGAATATTGATAAACCACACCTCAGTTACATAGGCCTTCATCTTTCTGAGAGAAAACAAAAAGCCCACAACACAAAGCTAATGATTGTCGTTTTGTTGTTGTTTTCTTACCAGCCCTGTGATTCACTGATGTAGCAAACTCCTGATGAAGATACTCCCTCAACGCAGTACTTAAAACCCAAATTCAAATATTCTTATACAGGTGGAAGGAAATCACAGCCCAATCTCTGAGATGGCTGGGGAGAGAAGTCTGAGGAAGTGCCTCCAGAGATCTCTGAGATTATCCTTTTCCAGAAGAACATGAATCTTCTCATCTGAGCAGTTCCCATACCTAAATTGTGTACTCACCTGAGTTAGGCAGAGATGATCTCCATGATGATCTAAGCAAAAATATTCGCAACACTATCTCCAACAGGTACTCATACAACTTGTTTGAAGACACCCAATGATGAGAAACTCATTACTTCCCATAAGTAATTCATTCCTCAAACTATTACATTAAAAAATTCTAATAATACACTGAAATTTGTCTCCCTATAATTTCTACTCAATGATCCTAGTGCTTCCTTCTGCAGCTAAATAGAACAAGATGAATTTCTCTTTTGCTGAAAACACTTCTGAATATCTGAAAACACATTTCCCTGCCCGTCTCCAAGTCTCTCTTTTCCTTAGGCTAATCAGCTCTTCAATATAACCTCTTAAAACATGGTGATCCTTCTTATACTTGTCACACACACACACACCCCACATCCCAACTCAGGAATGGCCTTTCTTAAATTAAGTTTCCTTCCAGAACTACATACAATATCCCAGCCATAGTTAAAGAAAGGGAGAACACTAGTTGCCCTCATGTTGGACATTATATATCTAACAATGTAGACTAAGATGACATTAGCTTTTTTGTCCACCATGTCAAATTACTTAAAAGTCTATTATTATGAGAATCTTGTATCAATGGTAGGATGGTATAATAGAAAGTACAAACTAGTAATCAGGAGACTTGTGTTTGAATCTCAGTTTGACCTTTTTACCAGTCATGTTTCCCTGAGAAAATCATTTCTTTGAGTTTCCATTTTCTTAGGTAAAAATAGGTATGTTATCTGCCCTGAAGCCCTTATGAGAGTATTAGAACTTCCTAACAAACCTCAGCTTCTTTTTTCTTTGCTCGAACTTTCTCCACTTCCATAAGGATCTTCTGGGATTCATCCACATTTCCTTCAGCTCCCAGTTGTTCAGCTTTAGCTAGCAGTTTGCCAATTTCTTCATTCAATTCATGTACTTTTTCTGCCTAGAGGAGAAAAGAAGAATTGTGAACACAAGTCTGAAAACCTCTTGCAACATTCCTATTTTGTTTCAGAAATGTGTGTTCAAGGAATTGGAGTCATATGGAAGCAATCCCAAGAGCTATACTATGGTTTATATTAAAACTGTAACTTCTTCTTTCCTAAGACAAATGTTAATGTATTCCAGTTTTTCTGTTATTCCCAATTTAGTCTTTGCTCACAATGCCTACTTTGCAGGTAAATCCCAACCCTTCCAATCATAGCTCAACCTAATTCTAATTCTCAAATGTCAGAAAAAGTAATCTTTCTAGGGTTAAAAGATACAATGAAAACACACACTGGTTTTCTTCAACATGTCAAGATCATATATTACTGAATAATTTTTACCTTAGCACCATTTAATTCTCTTCCTATTTCAAGATGAAAAATCACTAATGCAAAAAAGACAAAGTCAGTATAGCAAAAAAAGAACATATGACTGAGAAATCAGGAATTTAGAATTTTAGAAACAAGCTGTGTAATCTTGGGAAAGTGAATTCTCCCTGAGCTTTAGTTTCCTTACCTGTAAAATGGCTAGGTGATCACTAAGGTCTAAACTGGATTACATGAGTTCTGATGTTCCTTCCAGTTCTAACACTCTGTGATGCAGTATGCATGTACTCTATTATAATTTGCTTTACCATTACACACAATGTTTATTTTCAACAGTTCCTACCTTTGGACATAACTTTAGCATGAGAAAAGAATGATGATATAATGGCAAAGACAAGGAGAACTGAAATTTAAATTAAAAATTAAATTATAGGTAATTTCTGTTGAAAAGAAAACAGTCGCATTAACCATGTTTTTCCCCAAAGACAAAGACTAGGCAAACTGTATTTCTGACAACATCAAAATGATTGAAAATATTCAGATAATTGGCTCATAGCATTTACAACTCAAAAGGACATATTCAAGGGTCACACAAGGCAGTAAGTAGAAGATCTAGGGTTTAACACAGTTCCCAAGTTTAAATTCAATGATCTTGCTACACACATCACCATTACCCCAACCATACCCCTTTCGATTAGTCTGAGAATCTAGGGAGTCCTAGGATGGCAACAATAAGGGACATATTTATTTTGGGGAATAATTAAAATACTTGAATAGTTCAAGAATCTGTAATTTTTCACCAATGTTTCATCCACTAAACTCAATCCAATTCAACTAAGACTTAGCAAGTGGTCTTCAAGAATTCCTGTAACAAATAATTCAGTCACCCCTTGGCCAGCTGTTAATAAATTTTGCTAGGTTAGCCTTCAAACAACAGACATACAGTTATGTATGATTAACATAAGAAATAGTTAAAAACATGGAAAATGCCAACTTTTTTACCCTTAGCTATACTTTCATAAGTGTAGAAAACTTCCTCTGGCAATGCAGACTTGTCAACTTTACTGCAAATTACATTCTGAAAGAGATGTCTGAGAGTACCAAGAGATTAAGTGACTTTCACATTGTAAGAATGAGTCAGACTCAGACACATAACACTTACTAGCTGTGTAACCTTGGGCAAGTCACTTAACCCCAATTGCTTAAAAATTTAAAAAGAATGAGTCAGTCAGGACAAAAACCCAGATAGTCCCGACTCTGAAGTCAGCTCTTTGTCCATTACAGCACGATGCCTCTAAATTACAATTAGCCAACCACTCCATGAAATGATTAGCAAACAAATGAGTAAGTAGATTCACAAGTTCAACTGACTAGTTTTACCAGAGCTGTTTCTCCAGGTAATACCTTGGTAGCACCCTTCAAATATTTTTCAATTAGTGAAATTTCAAGTGGTGACTGTGGTATGGTAAAAAGAACCCCAACCTACTGCAGGAAAACAGGCATACTGATATACACTACTGGTAGAGTCATGAATTAGTCCAATAATTTTGGAAAGTAATTTGAAACTATGCCAAAACTGACTAAAACATTCATACCTTTTGAACCAGAGAGACCATCTCTAAGACATGATCAAAAGGAGATCAAAAACACAAAGGAAAGTCTTACAAACAACTTATATTTCTTGTGGCACCTTCTGTGGTAGCAAAGACCTGGAAACAAAGTGCCTACCAACTGCAAAATAGCTAAATGATGAATAATGGAATATCACTGAGTCATAAGAAATGATAACTATTAATAATTTAGAAAAGCAGCAAAACAATATACATAATACAACAATGAAAATACAAGGACTAAAATGAAACACAACTCCATATAATGGGCCCCAAAGAAAAGGTGAGAAAATATTTCTCCTTCCCCTAACTGTAGAGGTGCGGGACAACCATGGATGTAGAATACAGCTCTTATTACCAGAAACAGCTGATATGTTGGGTGGTTTTGCAGAATGGCCAGTTTCCCCTTCCTTGTGTGTAACAAAGATGAGAAAAGTAAAAAACAATTCAGCAAAACCAACTAACATATCAACTGCTTCTCAAATATGATCAATACTCCACCCACATCCATGATCCCCCACCTCTGCAGTAAGGGGAGGGCAGTACATTTTCTCAATTCTTCTCTTGTTAGAAATATTTATAAATGAATATGTTTAGAAATGAACGTAATATAAAAATAAAAGGCACCAATCTTGTGTGTGTGTTTATGTATACATATACACATATACGAGAAGTAAGTGTGAAAACTGGGTCCTGGCAATGCCACTGAATCGTTACTTGAAAACTTCTGCTTAAGATTCTTTAATAAGTAATATTTAAGTTAACATTTCCTTTCTCTTTTAAGACAATTCACTTTCCCTTCTGGGGCCTCAGTTCTCACCAGTTTTAAAAAAGGGGGAGGCTGAAGCAAGTTGCTAGATCTCTTCCAACTAACTCTATCCATGAAAAATAAGCAACCCCACGAAAACTATCTCCAATTTGCTGAATCTCACATTCACCTTTCTGCCTTCACATAACATACATCTTCAAACATTTCTGAGTCTCAAGAGTATTCGCTCAATTTTACCTAGTAAGCAGTTTGATACGATGCCTTGAAGATTTCCAACCTGGTAAAGTCAGTCTCCTGCTTTTTTCAAATCTTGCATTACTTTTAAGAACCCCATGTCCTCTTCAGGAGAACAGTAAAACTACTACCAGAATACAAGGGTACATTTTTTTTTCTTCTTGAGTGGCCAAGTGGGTAAAACCTGAAAGGGCATATCAACAGGATCTAGGATTCTAGGATCTTGGTTGTTCTTTTGCTGGCTTCTAAGCCTTATTTAAAGTTAGTCTATTTTTTGGTTAGATTATATCAAGCACACTCACCAACATTCACATACTTTCAGTGCCACCCTAATGTGCAGAAGGCTACAACGTGGCTTAAATTGTTTTAAGGTGTGTTTTTGTTGTTTTCAATTTTCTTTGTTGCATTGTGAATTCAACAATCATCAACATACTGTTTTAAGTTTTTTTCTTGGGTACAAGAGTACTTTGATCTGAGTCATTTCCTGGGTAAAAAGTGCCCAAAAGTAAGACAGAAAATCTTTCCTTCTCTTTCCATTAGCCTGAGAATGAGATGAATCCACAATATAGGATTAAAATCTGTTAAGAATGGGTTATCCCTATTAGTTCACTTATTCCAACTACCTTAAGGTTTTCATCTTTGTCTTCTCCATTAAATTTATAGATGGTACTAAACAGTTAAATGGAGTACACTTAATTAATCTGGGTTTTAGTCAACAAGTTTTTACAAGGCAGGATGGTCATTAGATTCCCTAGTCATTAATGCTGCTTCTGCAGTTTACTTCAATGAGTGAGAAACATTGAGGGATCTTTATTATTATTAGTTATGAAGGTGGTGGTCGGTCTTCATGCATGCTACACATTCTAAATTGCTGAGATTTAGAAAATTCCTTAGACAAGTAATTTTTTTAAAGATGTAAGATTCCAAAAGCTTTTCATTAATAGGAATGTAGGAACTTAATTAAACATTTCATTAAATAATACTACCTTTGCAGAAACCTCAGCACTGATCTCTTCCTGTGTTTCAGCAAGCCGTTTCTTAGCAAGTTCAGTTCTCCTGTCACACTCTGCAATAAATGACTCCAGATGATCCATTGCCTGTATTTAAGATAAACAGACAGCTACAATCACATGTTTTCTTGCAGCACTTAGAACTTATAAAGTATAACCTAAAGTTAGTTTCTTACAGCTAAGATGCTGGTTTAAGAAAAAAATTTCAAGATAAACATGGTTCCTCCACTATCTAAAAAACAAAATAAAACAAAACCCACCAACCCTACCCAAATATTTCACAGAAGCATTTCAGAAGTATTTTCCTGAAATCTATTTTTTTTGGTTCCATAATCTTTTTAAAAAGTGAGCTCAAGAAGGGACAAATACAGAGGCACAATAAATTTTTTTTCTTCAAATGAAAAAGTATTGAGGTATTTTTATAAAAACATTAATTTACTTAGAAAATTTTCAGGAAAAATTAAATGTTCCCTGAGATCTATAGAGGATTGAAAAAAACAAAAAGACCTTTGCTAGAGATTCACAGAATATGTATTTAATATATAATATAATATAATATGTAAAGATAGAGATGTGAAGGTATTTCACCCAAAAAGCCAAGGAGAAAACTTTATTCTAGTAAGAATAGGACAATTTTAGTCAATAAGGGATAAAATTTGAAAGGAGAAATACTTTAAAATGCAATAATAGTCTCTGAAGGGAAGAGACTGGTTAATCTACTGTTAACTAGGAAAAGAATGAAAGACATAATTTCAGATAAATGCTTAAATGCAGATGACCTTAGTGGAAAAATGATATCCTAATAGTGATTGGCACAAATGCCTGACCAAACTATAAACATGTATTTTCTGTCATATGATCAAAAATTTAGAGCTGGATTGTTGGTGGAGTTATGAAAGGATCCAACCATTTTGGAGAGCAATTTGAAAAGAGATGATAAAAATGGGAAAAAGACCCACATTTACAAAAATATTTATAGCAGCTCTTTTTAAAATTTGTTTATTATTTTTAAAATTTTTTAAAAATAATTTATTTTGATTTATCAACAATCACTTCCAGGGGCAGCTAGGTGGCGCAGTGGATAGAGCACTGGCCCTGAAGTCAGGAGGACCTGAGTTCAAATCCGGCCTCAGACCAAACACTTGACACTAGCTGTGTGACCCTGGGCAAGTCGCTTAACCCCAATTGCCCCCCCCCAAAAAAATCACTTCCATATGCTTTTAAAATTTTCCTCCCCCTTCTTCCCCACCACCTTCCCCAAGATGGCACACAATCTGATATAGGTTATACATATACATTCTTATTAAACATATTTTCACATTAGTGATGTTGTAAGGAAGAATTAGAACCAATAGGAGGAACCACCAGAAAGAGGAAACAAAATTCAACAGAAGAGAAAAAAACTAGCAAATAGTATGCTTCAATCTGCATTCAAATTCCATAATTCCTTGTCTGGATGTGGATAGCATTTTCCATCATGAGGCCTTTGGAGATGTCTTAGATCCTTGTATTGCTGAGAAGGATTAAGTCTATCAATATTAGTGATCGTACAACGTGGCTGTTACTGTGTACAACATTCTTTTGTTCTGCTTACTTTCAACTCAGCATCAGTCCATACGAGTCTTTCCAGGTTTTTCTGAAGTCTGCCTGCTCATCATTTCTTACAGCAGAGTAGTATTCCATTACATTCATATACCACAACTTGCTCAGTCCTCCCCCAATTTATGGGCATCCCCTCAATATCCAATTCTTTGCCACCACAGAAAGTTGTGGTATATGAAAAAGTGAGCAGAACCAGGAGAATGTTGTACACAGTAACAGCCACGTTGTGCTATGACTTTGATAGACTTAGCCCTTCTCAGCAATGCAAAGATCTAAGACATCTCCAAAAGTCTCGTGATGGAAAATGCTATCCACACCCAGAGAAAGAACAATGGAGTTTGAACGCAGATCGAAGCATACTACTTGCTCTTTTTTTCTGTTTCCTCTTTCTGGTGGTTCCTTCCTATTGGTTCTAAATCTTCCTTACAACATGACTAATGTGAAAATATGTTTAATTGGAATGTATATGTAGAGCCTGTATCAGATTGCATACCAACTTGGGGAGGTAGCGGGTGAGGGAGAGAGAGAGAGAGAAAATTTAAAACCCAAAAGCTTATAGAAGGGGCAGCTAGGTGGCACAGTGGATAGAGCACCAGTCCTGTAGTCAGGAGGACCTGAGTTCAAATCCTGCCTCAGATACATAACACTTACTAGCTGTGTGACTGTACCAGTCACTTAACCCCAATTGCCTCACCAAAAAAAAAAAAAAAGCTTATGGACGTGATTGTTGAAAACTAAAAATAAATTCATAAAAAAAAAAGTTAAAAATTTTTTTTAGGGCTGGAAGAGTCTGTAGAGTTCACCCACTCAAATATCTCCCCATTTTACAGAAAAGGAAACAATGATCTCAATATGAAATGAATTGTCCAAGATTGACAAGTCAGCTACTGGCAGACCTTATTTGAACCTTCCATTGTTTTGAAGTGCTCCTTTCACTACAGACCAAGTTAATAGCTGATAAACTTTAAGCTATTCTCTGAAGTCTTATAGCAACAACATGTTAAATATTAACAGCAAAGAATTTTAAATACGTTATAAATTCATCCTGTTAAGAAGAAGTAAAAAAACAGTTTAGTTTGGAAAAGGTGATGATAAATTTAAACATTCAAATGTAACTATAGAAGGTGGCAATCAGCCATTCTCTAACTTTATCAAGGTCACAATTAAGACAAAAAAAAAAAAAGATTTAGGTTAAAGAGATTAACTTCTTAATAGGATTTTTTTTTAATAGAAGAAAGGCCAGTCATAGGGAGGAGATCTTTGGAGATCTTTAAAGCTACAGGTATTTATTTTCCAGAATGATTGAGGAAACAGTCTGAAGGGAAGAGATCCTATGCTAATATCAATCTTATAATCCCAACTAAAAAAACTACTATAGTCAGTTGAGTTAGATACCCAGTAAGAACTTAATAAATGCTTTATTCATTTATTAAATTTCCAGTAGCTTACGATCACACTACATACAAAATCTTAGAATAACATGTTACTGGAAATTCAGTTTAGAACTCACTTTCCTAATATAGGTTACATATCCTTAGGTAATATGAATATTTTGCTAACTGTTTAAGCAAAAACTCAAGTAGGAAGATTAAAATACTGTAAACCAAAACCAAATAGAAAACTTTAAAAATCTCTAGATATGCTCTTAAGTGAGTTAAAAAATACTAAATGGTTGATTAAGTTAAATGACCTGGCCACTATCGAGTTCAGAATACAATATAGGTCATACTTATGTTAGGAAATACTACTCTTTATCATCACCATGTTGTATTTACTTTCTTACTACTTCAGCACCTAGAATAGTATATTTTCTGCTCCTACTCACATAGGCTGACTCTACTCACACAGCTAGACCAAAGTCCACTACAAATTTATGTTATCTTACTACAAAGGCAATCTTTTTACTCTTTCCTAACTTCTCTTCTCTCAAGCATGCCACACAATAGCCCTTCTCCCAAGCTCTCGGCTAAGATCCTATCATACTTGACTAGGAAGTCATTCACCACAATCTGCCTCTTCTTCTCTCACTAGCTCAAAACCCATCCTCCACTTCTTCCTCTAGTCACTAATGAAGAGGTGGTCTTCTACCCACCAAGATCAATACCCCTACTTAGACCTATTTCTCTCATTTCTAATCTTTACCCAGTTACTAGGTCTTTCTATGCTGCACACAAAAATGCTCAAATCTCCCCTTGGCCTTAAAAAAACTACCACTAGAATCCCAGTATCACCACTAGCTATTGTCCCATATTTTCCCTTCCTTTTTCAAACTTTTAAAAGGCTAGCTATACTTGGTGGCTCCACTTCCTTTCACTTTTTTCTAAACCAAGGACTGTTAACCTATGGTGGCAGTATCAGAGCAGATACACGCAAGAGATGGTATAAAGAAAAATCAACACGCCTTGGCAACAGACTGGACAAGAGGGGTGGGGGGGTTCGGAGCCTGGGCAGTGATGCCCTTAATAGTAATGGGGAAGTTTGGAAGGGGGGAAGGTTTAGGGAGAAAGATAGTTTAGTTTTGGATATGTTGAATTTAAGATGTCTGCAAGACATCCAGTTTAACATGCTTACTAGCCAAACAGAGGGGCAGCTAAGTGGCGCAGGGATAGAGCACCGGCCCTGGATTCAGGAGGACCTGAGTTCAAATCCGGCCTCAGACACATAACACTTACTAGCTATGTGACCCTGGGCAAGTCACTTAACCCCACTGCCTAGCCAAAAAACAAAACAAAACAAAACAAAAATAGCCAATCAGAAATGCAAGACTTTAAGTCAGGACTGAGGTTAGGGCTAGATAAGTAAATCTGAGAATCATTAGCATGGAGATTAATGAAATTATGGGAGCTAATGAGATCACTAAGTGAAACAGTATAGACAGAGAAGAAGATCCAGGACAGAATTTTGTAGGATACCCACAGTTAGCAGGCATAACTTTGATGAAGATCTAGTAAAGGAGACCAAGAAGACTTGAGTGGTCACAGGTGGAACCAAGACAGAGTAGTATCACAAAAACCTAAAGAAAAGAGAACATCAAGGAGAAGAGGGTGAACAACAGTGGCAAAAGTTTCAGACAGGTCAAGAAGGATGAGGATTGAGAAAAGATCATTAGTTTGAGCAATTACAAAAAAGAGCATTAGTAACTTTGTAGAGTGCAGTTTCAGTTGAATGATGAAGTTGGAAGCCAGACTATTGAAAATTAAGAGAGAAGTGGATGTACTGATTGTACATGATTTTTCTCAAGGAATTTAGTTACAAAATGCAGGAGACACACAAGATAAAAGCGGATGGATGGATCCAATGAGTTTTTCTGAGGATGGGGAAGACATAGGAAAGTTTGTAGGAAGGAAGCAGCCAATAGACAAGGGGAGATTTAGGATGACAGTGGCAGCAATCTGTTAGAGAAGGTATAGAATGTGATGGCTTGTGCAAGCAGAGGGGTTAGCCTTGGCAAAGAAAAGGGCCATCTCTTCATATCAGACAGGAGA